CGACGAAACGAAGTTGAATTTTATTTGCATTTCATAACAATTCAACAAATTTGTTTTTTGTACGTTATTATAGTCACTACTGAGTAATACCGGTAATTGACAATTTTGAAACGCAGCGTGACTGGATTGCGCAACCGTGATCATTTGTTGCTCGGCAGTTGTATTCGTTTTTACTTCGTTTAGAATATAATTTCGTTACCAATAAAATTAGGAAAAAAAAGTGTATTTGACGTACCAGGGTCGTTTTTTTTTTGAAAAAGAATTACTCTGGGTGACATTGCAAGTTTTAGGCGGATAAATTAGCAGGTCACAGTGCATTCTACTTGTCTCAGTATTGACTGTCTCGCCGTACTTCAGATGGGACTTCACACATTCCATTGTGAAATGTAGATGCTAATAGGTGTTTTTGAAGACAATGGCACAGTATTGTACGTGAATTTAAAAGCTCTATGAACTTTGTATGCGGGACAATGGCATCGCAAACGTACACAATGCCTTTAGACCTATCATAATACGACCGAGTTGCGTGCTCACCGGATGCGTCCCAGGGACTCACCAGTTAAAAAATTCATGCGTCCCACAGAAAAACTATGCTTCCCGGACGCGAAATTCCGCGTTAACGCAATCCCTGACCTTGCAATATGCAACACTGACACTGATTGGGAACAATCAGCTGTGCAGTTGTTGGCTGAAGATGACAGTGGTGATGAAAGTGACAAAGAAAATGATGCCAAAACAACTAAAATGGCTTATTTGTAATGTAGTAAAGTTAATTTCTAAAAATGCAAATAAAAATAATACACTATTTATCATTGTTTTTATTTATTGTACAATATGTTTGCTTGTCTGTTTAGCTGATCTCCCTTAAAATCTCTCCCCCTTAATAAATATTCATGAATAAATGAATAAATTAGGCCACCTGTCTATAAAGACCACCTGTCTATAAAGACCACCTGTCTATAAAGACCACCTGTCTATAAAGGACAGTTTGGCTCAGTCCACCGACTGTCCTTTATAGACAGACTTGACTGTATGTGGTTACTAACATATCACATGATTTTGATCAGATTGTATAAATTTAACTGAATGAATATTTTGAATCCTCGGTTAATAATAAATAAAGAATAAGGAGTATTTTAGAAAGTTCAACAAAATCAGCAATGAGATGCTGCTTTTAAAAATTGTGGAAAAAACATACACTTTACACTGTTATTCCAGTTACCTCAATCTTGCATGCATCGGACGTGATGTCACAATGTGCATTGTGTCACCATGGGTCGCAGTCATCGGTACTGAGGTAGTCTATGAATGAGTTATTTCTAGAGATCAGGGTTCATTTTTTTTATAGGTCATCTCGTCTGCAGTTGAATAAATTTTGCCTTGATTTACAGTAGTATTCCTTTCAATATAAGTTCATTTCATTTCATTTGTTTTTGATAATTTGTGTCACCGGCGATTGAAAATTTGCATTTAACTGATGTGCAGCAAATAGAAATACATCTTTGTGATATACATTGCGTTCTGATTTGTGTAACTTGTTATAGTTACTACAGGTACTCTAGTATTTGTTTTGGGCTTTGGATACACCTCACCTGTGAAACTCAAAGACTTAGTAACTTCTTGCAGACTTTTGTTCTTACCACTGTCAATGTATTGCTAACAAATGCAAAGCACCCTTTGATCAAAACATGTTATTGTTTTAAATTCGAACAAGACTAGAGTTACACTGGTAAACAAAGCAACAAGCATCAATAAATTTAAATTTCAAGTGTCACAGACAGAGGGCAAGCATCACAGGTGAGTGTCCAAGCGTCATGGTACCATGATACTTCACGGAGAACACTGACTTGGAATTGGAAAATAGTTTCCCTCACATTTTGATAAAACTAAAGCCATACAATAAGATTTAGTAAACTACAGACCTGCAGTGCTGTGGATTTGGCATAAACTATCTCTTCATCCACTCCTACTGAAACCATAATGGCATCACTTTTCGCTAAATTATCTTCATCATCGGCATTCTGTAGAAAAAAATTATTAGTTTCAGTAATTGTTATTACTGTATTTTCTCTATTAGAAGTGCATATTCATGAGAGGATCCTAAAAGCCACAAGTCATTGTTAATGTTTGTATTATAGACAAGAAATATATGTTCTGTATATGTATGGAGTTTTAAATTGATCAGACCAGGAATGAATGGGATATGGCGATATAGAGCTGCATTTGTTTAAACAATATGGCCGCCAGTCATCCAATTCAGAGATTTTGGAAACCTGACTGGTTAATGTCGTAGTATTCCGCTTGTCACATCTTTTTCCAATTCTGGCTTCATCTGCTCAATACATCATATTATAGTTATTGGCAAGTACTACCACAATTATCTACATTTTTTTTCAGATGTAATCAATGAAGAAACAGGGGGTGCCACTACCTATGTTTTTCAGACATATACAATATACTGTTCAAGGGTGCATTTAATTAAAGAAATCTACTGCATCTCACGAGGTAGAAAAACCTATTTTCATCATAACTATGTATTCACTAATTAATGTTATGTTATTATTCAAAAATGGTTATGATTTTAATAAAGCTTAACTTTTAAAAAATTAAAGAAGTCTGAGCAAACATAATGCTAATATTTTTTATATCACTTTTAATTCTATAGATATTCAACTCGTCATCAATATTATGAAGTCCACCATCTTGATTCTTCTGCAAAGGATTATGGGTAAAGTAGACATCATAGCCATTGTTATGAAAAATTGAGAAAATGATTTCATCTACAACTTTGAAAGTAGGTTGTCACACAAGGGTACCAGCAATCCCCCTTCTGTCAAGATACTAATTTGTTAATAACGAAAAACCAGTAATTGTTAATATCTAGATGTTAATTTGTTACTAACTTGTCATTAAAAGTTAGTATTCTCATCATGACATATTGTGCTTCGGTATTACTGTAAAATACTTTATTTTAGCTGGAATTAATTTTCGCTGAAAGGACTTTTTTGGTGTTTTGTATGGAATTTATTTTCAATGAATCATCCCTCCAGCGAAAATAGCGAAAATTAATGCCAAGTGAAAATAAAGTATTTT